TAAGCCAGAAATCAAGTAATCTGTCACAGTGATAATACAAATTGTCGTTATTTGCTTAGCATACTAACATATAAGAGTAATAGTTTAATACAGGTCAACAGTAACCATGTAACAAAGTATTTGCTGAAGTATACTTGAGTGTTCAAACACATACATACTAGTTCGTCCCGTAACGAAATTCATTCAAGCCTACAAAATTTCTGATTTGCAGAGCGGAGCGTCCTCAATTTGCAGACTGATCGGGTTGTAATCGCTTTGTAGGTGTTTTAGTCAGTAGATGTACATATGAAAAACAAATGAGAAAAACTAGGCAAAAAAGTTTGCTGCATAACCTCGAAACTTCTGCAAATGCAAGATGTCCATAAGATAAGTGATTTATGTATCATAAGTAGCAAGTAATATCTACACAAAACAAACAGAGAGAAGGCCACTTGAGAAGATACGAAAACGGCGAGAACAGATGCGTCGTCTCATATGGTAGAGCAAAACCGTTGCGTCGCGAAGATCGTCGGCACTGGATATTGGCATACTTTATTTGCGGTTCGAAAGGAAGACCGCCAATATGATTGCAACCACGATGAGAAGAATTATGATGATTACCAATGCGAGCAATATCTGAAACAGACAAAACGGCCTCAAGATTTTAGCCTACAATGTTGCAGGCGATAACGCTTCTGTGCCCACCTTCTTTCGCGTTGCGCTCTTCTTGTACTCTAATCCAAGCTTTACATTTCGAGCACCTTGTTCCACGTGATCCTTAGTGGTCTCAATATTTTGTGCAATGTTGTCTACCATTTCGTTCTGCAAATAATATAGCCACAGAATTGGCCATGCTGACCACATGAAACAAACTTTACGAGATGGACCTGTATTTCTGTGAGATTTTGCAAGTCGACAAAAATTTCTTGCATTGTCTGTATGCTCTTCTCCAACTCGACAATCTCATTATGCCTGCGTTTGACATCAGCTAGAGCAGCCTTCGCCGATACAGATAAAGGATTCACTTGACGGAAGAATAGCTGCAAACATATGCAAATGGAACTTGAATCAAAGTATAATGGTCTAATTAGTAAGCAAATTACGAGGAATGATATATGAAGCTTTGTGTAGCACTTGTAAAAGTTGAACTTGCCATCAAGAATTATTATAAACAGTATGAAATTTGCGCGAAGAAAATGATGAGTCAGAAGATACTCGTGCTGTACTTTAGCACCAGCAATATTCTCTTTTTTTTATCCTTGAAACGTCTTTACTTGGGCCGCGCTTGTTAGGCAAGGGGCATACTTCACGCGATTTCTCCATAATCGCG